CCCACACCCCCAGACTGACCCCACACCCCCAGACTGACCGCAGCCCCCGACTGACCACAGGCGCTGACGGTGTAGCCCTCGATGACGCACATGGGGTGGCCGAGGATGAAGTAGCCGAAGATCTGGTTGACCACGCTGATGGTGCTGGCGATCACCGTCTCGCCCAGGTCGGCCACGGCCAGGTTGACCAGGATCCAGTTCAGGGGGTGCCGCAGCTTCTTGAACTTGGCGGTGGCCACCAGCACCAGCCCGTTGGTGAACACCGAGGCGATCACCACGAAGATCATCCACAGCGACGTCAGGTTGTACACCCAGCGCGGGGCGATGTGGTAGTTGGGACCCTCGAAGGGACCTGGGGGGACGGCGTGGGGTCACCCCTGTGTCCCCAAGGGTCACCTCCTGTCCCCAAGGGTCACCCCCGTGTGTCCAGGAGTCACCCCTGTGTGCTTGAGGGTCACCCCCGTGTGTCCAGGAGTCACTCCTGTGTCCCCAGGGGTCACCCCTGTGTCCCCAAGGGTCACCTCCTGTCCCCAAGGGTCACCCCCATGTGTCCAGGAGTCACCCCTGTGTGCTTGAGGGTCACCCCCGTGTGCCCAAGGGTCATCCCTGTGTCCCCAAGGGTCACCTCCTGTCCCCAAGGGTCACTCCTGTGTGCCCAGGGGTCACCCCCGTGTGTCCAGGGGTCAACCCCGTATGCCCAAGGGTCACCCATGTGTCCCCAAGGGTCACCCCTGTGTCCCCAAGGGTCACCCCCATGTGTCCAGGAGTCACCCCCGTGTGCCTGAGGGTCACCCCCGTGTGTCCAGGAGTCACTCCTGTGTCCCCAAGGGTCACCCCTGTGTCCCCAAGGGTCACCTCCTGTCCCCAAGGGTCACTCCTGTGTGCCCAGGGGTCACCCCCGTGTGTCCAGGGGTCACCCCCGTGTGTCCCCAAGGGTCACCTCCTGTCCCCAGGTGTCACCCCCGTGTGCCTGAGGGTCACCCCCATGTGCCCAGGGGTCACCTCCTGTCCCCTTGTGGCTACTCTGGTTGGTTGGTGACCCCAAAACTCCTCAAAACTCCTCAAAATGCACCCCCTGTGTCCCCAAGGGTCACCTCCTGTCCCCTCAGGTCACCCCCATGTCCCCCTCGAGCCCGCTGAGGTTGGTTCTTGACCCCAAAACTCCTCAAAA